ACCGGCCCACCCTAACAAGCAGCGCGCCGCTGTCTCTGTGTCCCACGGTGCCTCCGTCTCCTCCGGTTCACACGGTTCTCTTTTTCTCTTCAGAGAGGGTTGTTGGGCGGGCAGAGCGCCCCCCGAAGGGAAAAGTCAGGCCTGCGGACTCCTGGAGCCAGGACCAGCTGTGGGCTGCTTAGGGCAGGATGCGCCCTGTCGTCGTGGGCAGAGCCACGTGGGCGCTCACCCGACCTCCTCAGGGCTGAGGGGCGCAGGGGCCGAAAGTGTGGCCGTCCCCGGGGGTCTGCGCCTTTTGTGGAGCCCAGGCCTGGCGCCCAGGTGGGTGGAATGCGGAGGGAGCACAGGCTGCACGGCCCCAGCCTGGCCTCGGGCTTGCTGGCAGTCGCGTCTGTGGCCGGAGGGGCCTTTGGTGTCACCAGGCCTCTGTCAAACCCCGTACCGTGCCCCAGGGTACTGGGATGCTGAGCCTTCTTGGGGGTCTGGGGGGGCTGAACCACCCGCCGCCGTGAGGCCTGTTTCACCTGCGCTCCTGGAGGACCGCTGTCTTCTTGGTCTCGCACTGAATATTTAAAGGAAGAGAAGCAGGTTTTACCATCCGTGTGGCCTGATTTCAGCAGTTTCCAGCCAGAGCTAGTCATTTGCCTGTTTTAAAAACATTCCGTTACAATTTCCACTTCAGTATATTCGTGGCACTTTCATTTGGTTCATGAAAGTCGCTTTTATGATAGAATTTTATAAAAGCACAAAGCTTCCCGTTGTACGTTACGTTTCCAAAGATTCTGTTTACACACACATCCGTTTCAAAGCGTTTTGGAGAAGCAAAGCGAGACACGGTTTTGAAGAAGGACAAGACCCGCCGTCTGGTTACAGGCTTGGTGCTGGCACTTTTCATAAGAGGCACAGTCCACATGGGCTGGACTGTCAAATGCATGTTATAAAGATGATGTTTTTGGTAACTTCGAATGGAAACGGGGGCACGGTTGGTTTGGCTCTCCTGCCCTGAGATTTATTAGGTTAAAGGAAACTCGACTGGAGAGCCCTGGGCCTCGCGCCGCTGGTGTCTGGCGAGTTCCTGAGGTGAAGTCAGTGACGCTCTGCATCTTAGCCTGGCTCAGGCTCCAGTGTGGCGTCCGCTCTCCTTCCTCTGACAGTCATGTGTAAATATTGAGGCCCATTTGAACTGTCCCTGTGTGGAAAAAATCCTGTTTTTCACGGGGCTGCCTGGGGAGGAGAGGGTGGAAAGGAAAACAGGCGGGGGCAAACAGCCCAGCCTGCCAGGCCTGGGGCGACTTCACCGCTCCACTGTCAGCCAGCGGCCGTCCAGTGGTGGGTCTTGTCTGCCCTGCGAGGACACCTGGCTCCATCCTCACCTGGGCCGCTGTCTCCAGCCGCCAAGGCCGTGACACCATGAGGATCATGTGAGGAGGGGCAGAGAGCGGCCACCGGGAGGCTGTCATTCCGGCCCTACCTTCCCTGCCTGGGAGGACGCTGCAGCCACCACCACCTGGACGAGAGTGGCCTGTCGCAGCTGCACCCTGCGTGGACTCGTGCCCTGCCACTCTGTTTCTTTACGCCTTTCTCCTGTCCTTTCCAGAATCCATCTACCGCCGGGGAGCCAGAAGATGGAGGAAGCTGTACCGTGCCAACGGCCATCTCTTCCAAGCCAAGCGCTTTAACAGGGTGAGTGGCCCCCTCGGGACTAGTCCCTCAAGGGGCCCTTTGTTACTTTTAAAAGCAAAGAGAGAGGAGGGAAGGCACGTCCTGCGGAGCCCAGGCTCGGCTCTTTTTGGCGCCCGAGGGCAGGGTCACAGAAATGCTTTCACTGGTGCGGGGATGAGGCTTTGACTAGGGCTGTCTGAGGCGGGAGGTGCCCTCCGGGCCTTTCCCTGTGTGGCGGCTGCCCAGTGAATGCTGTCTGTGTCTGCCTGGCTGCGTGACTTTTATCAAGGCTCAGGGTTCGCTGGCCTGAGGCCCCAGCCTGCCTGCATCCAGAGTGGAGCGGCCGCATTCCACATGTAGTGCCAGGGTGTGTGTTTTTAGCTGCACACAGTGTTCCTATTGGCTGCAAGAGTCTCCGTGAAGCCCGGAAGCTCCTTCAGCCCCATCCCTACTTGGGTCTCTGTCTTTCCAACGTCCACCCATGGGGGGGGGCCCTTTCCAGAGGACACTTAGCTTACTTCCCTTGTTTCTCTTTGTGGTGCTTTTCTAATTCTTACAAAATGGGTGATTCAGATGCTTTTGTAATTGTTGTATTTCACAGTGGAAGGGGAGGTGTCTGGGGTGCCTTGGTGGCCCTGGAGTTTGTCCCACACAGGGAGTGTCTTGGGGGTGGGTAGAAGCATACAGGGCCTGTCCCCACTGCGGGCCTCCACACAGAGCCCCTGATGGCCTGTCACATGCTATTGCCTGGCCAGCCCCGTGCTTCTTGCAGTCTGTCCCCATGACAGGTGGCCTCCAGCAGCCATCTCCAGCATGATGGGACACCCAAGGCCACTCCGTGCTGGTTCAGTCCCAGCCCCTCTGCTCTCTCTGCCTCTGTACCACCCTCTCTGTACCTCGGTTCCCTCCCTGTAAAGCCAGTACGATGACTGCACGGTGGCAGGGGGTTCATGGACGTGTGTCACTGCGAGAGAGCTGCGTGGAGGCTGCCTCGTCATCAGGAGCAGTGGCCCTGGAGCTACCTTTGCGTTCCACACCCACCTGCCACGTGGCCTCACGTGTCAACCTCTGCTGGACGTCCAGCTCCTCCATCTCCTGGAGCGACCTCAGGTCACCTGCCCCTCCTTCTACTCCTGTGGTCTGCTCTCTAGACCATCAAGAAGTTCTGTGCATGTCAGCCACTCCTCCCGCCCCCGCGTGTGCTCAGTCCGTCATGTGGCAAGAATGGGTCTGGACTCCCATTCCTCGTGGGGCTGACACAGGTGGGGATGCAGGACAAGCTCCTGAGTGACTGAAGAGAGGGGTGTGGAGGGAACTAGGCTCCAGGAGATTAGTAGGCCGGTGCTAGGAAGACCTGGACGTTGCCTGGAGATCCCAGAGGACTTCCTGGAGGAGGAGGCATTTGTTCATACTCCCTGGGAGGTCAGTGCAGAGATGCCACGAGCACCGAGGATGTGGCAGGCACGGGAGAGTCCAGCCAGTGTCTGGGAGACCCTGAGGACGAGGTTGGGGACACCAGGACATGGGGAGCCTAGGCAGCTGTGGGCTGTGTGCTTAGGGCAGGTGGGTGTGAGTGAATAGGCAGTTTGGCCTGGGCTGGGACTCAGGAAAGTGTGGCTGGAGGTGGCCACACTGGGGTCATCTGTGGAGTATGGTGCCAGGGAGGGTTGCAGCACAGAGATCCTGTCCACACCCCAGCCCACCCTGGCCGCCTTCTCTGAGGACACACGATGTGAGCCTTCTGGGGCTGCAGAACGGAGCACCACTAACCTGTGGCTTAAACCACAGAAACTCACTCTCCCGCAGTCTGGGGCTGGCAGTCCAAAACGAAGGTGTCTTCATGAGTCAGGGTTTTCCAGAGGGATGGAACCAATAGGATGCATGGACATGAAAGGGAGTTGATTCCCAATTGGCCTCGGGCTCACAAGGCGAAGTCTTACGATAGGCCGGCTGCAGGCTGGGCAAGAAAGGAGCCAGTAGTGGCTCAGTCCGAGTCCAAAAGCCTCAAAAGCAGGGAAGCCGACAGTGCAGACTTCAGCCTGTGGCCAGAGGCTCCAGAGCCCCCAGCAAACCACTAATAATTCCCAGAGTCTAAAGGCCAAAGAACCTGGAATCTGATGTCCAAGGGCAGGACAACTGGCAGGAAGTGTCCAGCATGGGAGAAAGATGAAAGCCAGAAGACCCGGGAAAACTGCTTCTCGCACCCGCTTCTGCCTGCTTCGCCCCAGCCACACTGGCAGCCAGTTGGATGCCGCCCACCCACATTGAGAGTGGGTGTTGCCCTCCCAGTCCACTGACTCAAATGCCAGTCTCCTGGCAGCACCCTCATAGACACACCCAGAAGCAATACTTCACCAGTTCTCCAGGCATCCTTCAATCCAGTCAAGCTGGCGCCTACTATCACCCATTACAGTGCCGCAGGGTCGCGCCCTCCTTCTCCCGCAGCCGCTGGTAGCTGTGGGCAGCCTTGTTCCTGGGTTCACAGAGGAACCACTCACCTCTGCTTCCGTCTCCACATGGCCTCTTCTCTCATTCTGCATGACGGATTAGCCCAGAGTGAACCCACTCACCCGGCGACATGGGCCGGGGCTCCAGGCAGCACAGGGTGCTGGCCTCTCACTGTGCAGCTTTTAGGAGAAAAGTCCATTTTGCCGATAGCAGGTGCAGACTATAAGCGACCCTCCCCTCCCCACCACCAGTGAGCAAAAGCTTTTCCTTTCCTTCCTGCGGACACTGGAGGAACGGGTGGCAGGGTGACCCACTACAGCTCCACTCTGCCGTGGAAGTGCAGCCCTCCTGGGCATGTGAATGAGCCAGTTTCACAAACACAGAGGCCCAGGCAAGAGTGGCCCAAAAGCCTGCAACTGGATTGCTCAGGGAGGGCAGCTGGCCTGCAGCTCACCCTGTCCAATTCCCACCTAATTGTGCCCAGGCTCTGATCTCGCCGTCTGCTCGTAACTTTCTCTGCCCAGACCTCAGAGCCGCTCCATGTAGCGCCCACTTCATGTTAATTGCAGGACCACTCAGATCACCTCCACTGTCACTTAAAAGGGGCATTTCAGGAGGGAAGCACTTGGTTTTGTGTGAATCAGTAAGACTTAAAGGGGAACAAGCACCAGGAGAAGAGACTTTTCTGTCCTCTTTGTTGGTGAACCAAGGATGAAAGAGTGGGCATCAGTCACTCAGGACTGGGCTCCCTGCCTGGGTCTTTATGTGCACTTGAAATGACTGCCCTTGGACTTTGAGAAGGAAGCATTCAGTGGGGGAACCAAAGGGAGAGAGCCAGCAAGGTTCTGAAGAAGAAGGTGAGGAGGGGCTGCCTCCCCTGTGAAGGACAGTTTGGGGTGGGGGGACAGGGAAGTCCACTCAATGGGTCAGAACTGCTGGGTCAGAGCTGGCCCTGGGCCCCGCAGGACTGAGCACTTCCTGTAGAGGAGGAGGGGATGGATCCTGCAGTAAATCCCGAGGCGGGGATTGGTTAATTATCAGCCCAGGAACTGGGGGTGAGGTGGGTAGGAATCCAGCCTGCTTGCTCCCGTCACAGTAAATTGCAGGTGGATTGAGGTTAAAAAAAATCACAGGGCCTGGCACAGT